GAAATTCATAATTGCTATGGGTAATTTATTTTTGAACGAACTTTAAGTAGTGAATATTCTTGGATGAAACTTTTTTAACTATTAGTTATGTTAATTCTTAATTATGAAATCCTAACATAATTAATGGTTACCAACAATTTATTTTAAATTTTAATTCTAAAAATTAGTCTTTTTTTTTTTTGAACAATTGTCATTAGATCAAATTAAATCGTTGCCCGACAGAGGGAGTGAAGTCAGTGAACCTTAAAGTGATGGAGGCTACTTAACCTATGGACCAGGTTCAATTGTAAAAATTAATCTTAACTATCATTATCTTTGTAGTATTTATAAAAATCAAAACCGTTGGCAAAAATGTATGATAAATATCAAAACCAATAAATCAAGGCAAAAACGACAATCTTGTAGTAGTGGGCGACAGCCTTTGTTCCAAAAAAAAAAAAGCAAAAGAAAAAGAAAAAGGAAAAGAAAAAGAGGGCAAAAACGACAATCAAAAAGCAACCTTCATGCAAGAAAAAGGTAATATACCACAAAAAAATAAAAAAAAGTTCATGTACGAAAAAAAGTATTATCACATTAGTGATCGCGTGTGATTATTGTCCACTATTAAAAATATTAAGATTTTTAATTTTTAAATGATATTTAAACATATTAATTTATTAATTAATAAATATAAATTATTTTATTGATTAATAATTATAATTAATAATTATTTTTATTAATTAAATTAAATTAAATTAATATTTTTAAAAAATAATATTTTACAAACTTTAATCACCTTAAAACTTTTGGGCGGTCTATAACCCGGCCACTAGTGGTGAGGCCACGGAGCATGTTTCATGTGTTGGGTTTAAGTGTAACTGTGTTCTGGTTCAATTATGAATCACGTAGAATAATATAGAAAAAGTAGCCATATGTATAATGACTTCTCCTCATTTCTGATTAGAAAAAGTAAGTTTATTTATTAGTAGTAATTATGAAAGGGTTTGTTAAATCTGTTATTTAATGGTGGAAGTTATTCATGCATTAATATATGCATATTTTTCTCAATGATTTGTATAGAAAAATATAAATATTAATTTTATTTTCAATACCAATTACATATATATAATTTTTATTAAATAATGGATAGAATTAAAGTTAAATTTTTATTTTTTTGTAATAATTAATAAAAATATAAAATTGCTGCACTGTAACCACACAAATTAAAAAAATC